AAGAAGAAGAAGAAGAAGAAGAAGAAGAAGAAGAAGAAGAAGAAGAAAATAATAATAATAATAATAAAATGTATGAGAAGGTTTCCCCTACTATCTCCACAACTTTACTGGGAGTGCAGTTTCTGCCAAAGACAGAGTAAGTTAAGAGTTGTCTAAGCCGTATCTACTTTGTAATAATCCAGTGGGCTTCCTCGTTGCCTGCTCCTTAAGAGAGCATGATTTCCCCCACTCCAAAGGCTTAACTTCACCCTCTATATAAAGTGGTGTGCGTGTGTGTGTGTGTGTGTAAGTCTGAGCGGTCTGAATCATAACTCCAGAGAAGGCGGCGTTGGGCAGCAGCCAGCAATGTGTTGAGGGGAGGGTATTGTAAGTATGTCTCTCTGAGGCCTGCCTGGATGTGGTTATAGCCAAATCATTGTTGAAACCATCCTTTTTTACAACTGCAGGACAGTGGATTTGGGACTTTAGTTTTTCAACGTGAAAACATGCATTCGAACAAGAGAAATACAAGAAGTGGCTGGCCAGATGTTTTCTTCTCCTTCATTTTCTTCTTCTTTTCTTCATTCTTTTCGTATCCTCCTCTTCTTCCTCGTTGCTGTTGTTACTATTACTTTCCCCCACTGTCATTTCTGGAAATGCTGATTCAACTTGTTGTCATTGCATGGCACAAGTTTCCTCAGTGCAGTTCCAAAGACACACCTCTCATCCTTGGAATCGCAAAACTACTGAGACTCTTACACACAAATCTCATTAAAGAGGGGCTTTCAAGATTTTAAAATGCTATTTATTGATGTTTTTTAGGCTGGTCTTTGACCGTAATAAAGATTAGAATTGAACTGAAGTTCAATCTGAATCCTCCCTAAATTATCCTGTGCACTTGATTGGCTAAGTTAGGCAAGGGAGGAGGATGCCTTCAGATGGAGTATAGGTAGCCCTCTAATTACAACAGACTTACCTTGGGTTTAGTTACATCCTGGACTTGGAGTTCTGATTGTCAGCCCCTCCCCCCAGTAGTCATGTGACTGAATTTCAGGCACTCAGCGACATGGCTGCATTTATGGCTGTTTGCAGCATCACCTGACTGCATCTTATGACACTTTTCCCCAAAACTGGCCCTTACTTCTGGTTTTCAGCAAATCTTAGTGCCCTTAGTGAAATATTGGTTCACTCAATGACCACAGTGTTTGCTTAACGACAACCATAAAAACAATAAAATCCAGTCAGTCACGTACCAACCTCTTTTTATCAAGACATATAAAGACACAACTATGATGGGCGAGATCTATTATGGCCATAAGTTAAGGAGTACCTGTATTAAAGGATCTGTGGCAGCAGAGCATTTAATACAGGTAATGACCTATGACCCCAACCGAGTTCAAAATTTCCTTTACTGAGACATAAGTAAGTTTTGCCCCATTTTATTACCTTTCTTGCCACAGTTGTTAAGTGAATCGATGCAGATGTTAATTTAGTAACATCTTAACACTTAACAATGGTTAAGTGAATCTGGCTTCCCCATTAACTTTGGTTGTCAGAAGGTTACAAAAGGTGGTGATATGACCCTGGGACACTGTAGCCATCATAAATACGAGTCAGTTGCCAAGCTGACTCTGAAGTTTAATCATATGACCATGGGGATGCTGCAACAGTCATAAGTGTGAAAAATGGTCTCAACTCCCATTTTCAGTGCTGTTGTGATTTTGAACGGTCACTAAATGAACGGTTGTAAGTTGAGGATTATCTGTAATGAATGTCCCCACTATTCATTTTTCTTAGGAAGCATTTGCATAAATAAAAAACATCTGTTCTTACTACACAGAAAACCATTACCCTAGTCACCCTAGCTTTCCTCTTTCCCCCTATGATCGATTGGCATGCTTAGAAGCAAACAATAAAGAAAGTAGGCCATAAATGCATAAATCTTACTAAATTTACCAAGCTTAAGTGTGAATAATTGTGGACAGTCAGGAATGAACAATTGCACAAAGTGATGGTCATGCATACAACAAGGAGGATGCAAACATTTCGAGCCCAAATTCTTTCTTAGCTAGCTGTTCCAGTTTTTAACAGAATAACAAAATACCAGAATAGCATAGCTGGAAAGGAACTTGGAGGTCTTGTAGTCCAACCTCCTGCTCAAGTAGGAGATCTTATATCATTTCAGACAAATGGCTGTCCAATCTTCTTAGAACCTTCAAGTGATGGAGCTCCCACAATTCCTGTAGGGAAGTCATTCCACTGATTAATTGTTCTAAGTGTCAGGAAATGTTTTGTTAGTTCTTGGTTGGTTGATTTGTTTCCATCCATTGCTTCTTGTCCTGCCTTCAGGTGCTTCGGAAAATAGATTGACGGTGACCCTTCTTCTTGTTGGCAGCCTCTTTGATCAGTGGTGGGATTCAATTTTTTTTTACTACCGGTTCTGTGGGCGTGGCTTGGTGGGCGTGGCAAGGGAAGGATACTGCAAAATCTCCATTCCCAGCCCACTCCAGGTGAAGGATACTGCAAAATCTCCATTCTCTTCCCACCCCACTAACCTGCTTTCCAGCTCCGTTTTCCTGTGCAGGGCAACAAAAAAAGACCCAGTTGATCAGCTGGGACTTGGGAGGCAGAGAATAGATGGGGGTGAGGCCAGTCAGAGGTCTCAAAATTTCCGCTACTGGTTCTCTGAGCTATTCAAAATTTCTGCTACCTGTTCTCCAGAACAGGTCAGAACTTGCTGAATACCACCTCTGCCTTTGATATTGGAATGTTGCTATCATGTCATCCCTAGGCCTTTTACTAAACTAGATATACCCAATTCCTGCAACCATATGTTTTAGCCTCCACTCTCCCAATCCTCTTAGTTTCAATCTCTGTTTGTGTTTTCTCCCAAAAGAAGGCATATGGATGATCTCATTTAGCATCAGAAGCTACCCAATGATGAATGGTTGAGAGAGTAGATATGTCCAGCTTATCAAAGAGAAGGATTAGAGGAGACATGATAGCTGACTTCCACTACTTGAGGGGCTGTTACAGAGAAGATGGGATCGACATGTTCTCCAAAACACCACAAGATAGGGCAGGAAGTAATGGGTGGAGGCTCATCAAAGAGAGATCTGTCCTAGAAATAAGGAAAAAAATTCTGACAGTGAAAGCAACTAATCAATGGAATAACTTGCCTCTCAGAATTGTGGGTGCTCCATCACAGGAGCTTTTCAAAAATAGACTGGACAACCATTTGACTAGGATGGTGTAAGGCTTCTGCCCTGAGCAGGAGGTCTGGACTAGAAGACCTCCAAGATTCCTTCCAGTCCTGTCTTGTCTACTTCAAAGCAATAGAAACATTAACCAAAGGTGCTCCTTGTTACTGAAAACACTTATTCAAAGAGACCTTATTCTTGCTGTCATCACTATGATTCTATGTTCTATATCAGGGATCTCCAAACTCTGCAACATTAAGAGTTCTGGACTTCAATTCCCAGAATTCCTCAGCCAGCATAAGGAATGACTGACTGAGGAATTCTGGGAATTGAAGTTCACAAGTCTAAGAGCTGCCAAGTTTGGAGAGCCTGTTCTATGTTCATTCACCATCACGCTGATGAAACAAAAGATCTGGTATGTGGGAAACCCTTGTTGGTTGGCCAAGCTGGCAGACCCACTCTCTCCTCCAGACAGTGGCCATCATTCTTCATGATCATTTGGACTTGAACTGCAAGGAAAACCAAAGACTGGATTCTGTAGGCACCTGTTCATGTCATGCTGTATACATGTATTTCTTGATACACAACATTTGTTTAGTGACCATTCAAATTTACAATGGGGCTGAAAAAAAGTGACTTATGATCAAAAGTCGGTGCTTGGCAACAGGCATATATTTGCAATGGTTGCAGTGTCCCGGAGTCATGGGATTGCCATTTGTGACCTTCCCAGCCAGCTTCTGGCAAGCTGATTCAATGGGGTAGCTGGATTCACTTTATGACTGCTTGAATCAGTGATTCGCTGAACAATTGTGGCAAAAACAGTCGTAAAACCAGGCACATCTCACTTAACAACTGCCTTGCTTAGCAAGGGTAATTCTGGTCCCAAATGTAATCATAGATCAAGGATTAGTGGGAAATTGAATGCTTGGAAATTCCAGGTGTTTTAAAAAATGACCTAGGTGAAATGAGAATTGTGAAGAAGCAAAGCCCAGGATAGACATGCTCTTTTGTTTCAACAAAAAATACAATTGCTTCCCCTTTCTCCATGCAGAAATTATACTTCGGTTTCCCCCTGACCAATCCCCAGAGGCAGAGCACATTTTTCCATGCCCTCCTGCGCTGTTCCTTTGATGCTCTGCTGTGATCTGACTTTATTGAGTTGGGGGCCGGGAGAACAGAGACGTCTGCAGACACAATAAAGATAAACCTTCACCGTCACTGTCTCCATATCCTCCAGGCCTCTGGCTTAGAGCACTATCCCGCGTCAATTTCTCTTCTGTCTATTTGCAGGCTAAAGGAAAAAGCAACCTCAACTGTCTTCAGAGATGAATGCACACTGATGTTTCTCAAGCATATATTTTTTTTATTTGTGAAATAGTATATCAGAATAACAGAGTTGGAAGGGACCTTGGAGATCTTCTAGCCCAACCTCCTCCTCAAGCAGGAGACCCTATACTATTTCAGACAAATGGGTGTCGAATCTCTTCTTAAAAACTCCCAGTGTTGGAGCACACACAATATCTGGAGGCAAGTCATTCCACTGATTAATTGATCTGTCAGGAAATTTCTCCTTAGTTCTAGGTTGGATCTCTCCTTGATCAGTTTCCATCCATTGCTTATTTCTTCGAGTGCTTTGGAGAATAGCTTTATTCCCTCTTCTTGTGGCAGGCAGTCCCTTAGTGACTTAATGTAAGGTAGAGCTAACATATCTGGACTGCCAA